CATGGAGAGTCCAGGGTCCTTATTATTCACTCTGGGAATAATCACACTAAGTCATAGGATGTCAAGAGGAATTACATTGTATCTGGATTTAAACATTAGGGGATACTTTCTTAACAGTCTTACACCTAGTAATTTATTCAGTGAGCATGCCTACAATGTCGTTCAAAAGCTTCACGGGGCTCTCACTGTATTAAAGCAGTTTCTTTAAGATGTCGAAAATTAGACTATGAATATAACCACTTCAGAAGATGTCAAATGCATCACAATAAACTACACATTAAAGGCAAGCTTACATTTTTAAGCCATAGTTTTAGGGAGCCTATTAATTATTAATATGACACTGATGAATTTATTTCCTCCCCAGCCTGCAAATCTATCACAGTTTTGAGCCTTACACAAAAAGTCATAGCATAGCACCTTTTAGAAAAATGATAATTAATATTCAATTTGCAGGTCTTACCTTTAATCTGCAACAATGTGTGAACAACAAAAATTTATGTAATACGCATTTGGGTATTCATTTGTAGACTTGTTTTCCATATACATAATATTTAGTTTCCAGTCCAAGTTTACTATTTCTCCCCCTTTTCCAGTCATACTCTATGAAGTCTGGCCATAGTTCATACACAGAGGGCATCTTTAAATTGTGTTTGTTGTTGTGTTAAGTGCTGTCGAGTCCTTTCTGTGTCACAGAGGCCCTGTCTATGGTTTCTGAGCAGCGGCTGGTGCGTTTGATCCACTGACGCCATGGTTAGCAGTCCAGAGATCATTTATGAAATTAACGGAATGATTTATCCCTATGTCACTGCTGGGTGTCTGGATGTGATGTTACTCTACAAATGTGACACTGTATGGAGATCCCTAAACAAGAGCAATATAATTTTAATAAAGAGATGAAAACATCCCTCACTGAAAGCACTGACCTCAATTAGACATTAACTTCCCAGTCACTAAGATCATCACCTTAATTATATTACTTATAATCATTGAAGCAATACCTCACCTAGCCTAGATATGGAAAGAATTCCATCTGGTGCCCAAATAGGTGCATTCTGTGTAATCTTTGCATCTCCCCTCCTCCAGCTCGGTACAAGATACCTCAGCAAGTTGGTTTGAAGAAATACTTAGGTATTCCATTACACACTAATATATATCGATATCACCCCTTTTCTACTCTCTCAGACTCTTGGGGACGCAGAGCCCCTCTCACCACCCTTTGCCCTGATGTATTCAACTTGAACTTCTATCTTTGAAACAAAATCAACCGCGTAGAAGTTCTGGCCCGACACTTATAGACCCCACCTGTAAAATAGCAGCTTTTGGGGAACCTCCCCACTTTCCTCACATCCTTTCTCTTCATTCCAAACAGATGGGCCACCATCTGTCATTGCTCAAGAAGGCCAAATGAACAAGATTTTGAAACATGTCCAATCACAATGACAACAAATACAAAAGCATTACTTTGCAAGGGACTGGGGAAGGGTGGAAGGACTGAGGCACAGGCAGTAGAAGAAGATACAGCCGCCAAAAAACACGTCATCTCCTCCACGTTGTTAGACCTTAGTGTAGGCAAAATCATCTTCAGAGTCCAAAGGAAGCAACTGAGCTAAGAAAGGCTAAGTGATTTGTTCAAAGACATAAAAACAGTGAAAGAAGAATTAGGGTTCAACTCTAGCTCTGCCTTTCCTACTCTGCCCTGCCACATGTAGACCTGAAAATGAGCCCCTGCCATAGTCTGGTGAACAAGACAGCTTGGCATTTGCCAGCATATTTCATGATAAATCACCCACTTGCCAAGTACCATTCATCAGCAGAATAGCTATTTTTTCATAGCTCCTCTGGTAGCATAGTGGTTACGAGTTGGGCTGCGAACCTCACGATCAGCAGTTTGAAACTACCAGCTGTTCCACGGGAGAAAGATGAGACTTTCTGCTCCCGTAAAGATATACAGCCTCGGAAACCCTGCACAGGGTGGCTATGGGTCGGAACTGATGCCACGGCACACAACCACAGCAACCACCTCACACACACAACAGGACAGGAAGTGCAAAGCAGAGATACGCACCCAAATATTTTCTATCTCCTGAGGGCTCCCAATAATTGAAAAAGAGTCCAGTTAAAGGATTACTGACTGTAGCTCCATGGAATGGATTTATCAGGCAAGGGGGCTGGAAGAGCTCCTTCAAATATTACACATATAAGGCTATTTGTAAGACAAAATGATGATGACCATACAGATACAAAACAAAATCTATCACACGGTTTATTGAACTCTTTATTGAGGGGCCCAGGATAATATAAGAACAGGTTCAAATGAGAATCCACAGAGCACACACAAAGAAGTGCTGTTAAATCCCATCGAGCCAGTTCTGATCCATAACGACCCTGTATAGATAGGCTCTCCCTGACTGTATATCTTTCTGAAAGCAGAAAGGTCTTATCTTTCTCCCATGGAGAGGTTGGTGGGCTGGAACCATCCGCCTTGTGGTTCGCAGTCCAGTGCTTGTCGCATAGAGCCACTGCATTCTAAGACCAGAAAAAAAACAAAACAAAACAAAAACCCTGAAATGAATTCATTTTATAGAAGCAAAAGTCCCTTCGTGCAGACGGTTTGCACTCAACTACACTCTAAAGATCGGAGTTCTAGTGTGGTGCTGAGGGTTCATGTGCTCAACTATAAAGTTGGTTTGAAGCAAAAGGTTGGTGGTCACACACACACTCAGAAAACCTATACGGAGTCGCTATGGGTCAGAACGACTCAACGGCACTGAACAGCAACAAGAACGTAATATACCCCAAAGATCAGTGGGGAGAGTCAGGTAGGACAGGCTCCGTGGGGGAGGGACTGAAAACCCAGAGAAACTGCTTTCACGGAACAGCCCCAGAGCTCTGGAGTAGGGTGTCAGATTCCCGCACATGCCAGTGGGAAAATCATGGTATAAAGGAAAATACTGTAATTTAGGAATCACTCCAGACACGGGACTCCCTCTGCTGCCACTCTGCCCAGGCCAAGTGCAGAGGGCGGGGCTATAGCCAGACCAGCACAGGGAACCAGCGCTGAAAGCAATGCAGTCACATTTGCAAAAGGCGGTGCAGTCCCAGATGACTTCATGGGGGAGTTCTACCAAACATTCAGAGAAGAGCTGTCACCAATTCTACTCAAATTCTTCCAGACTATAGAAGAGGATGGAAAACTTCCTAATTCTTTTTATGAAGCCAGCATAACTCACATACCAAAACCAGGAAAGGACATTGCTAAGAAAGAAAATTATAAACCAATACCCCTTATGAACACAGACACAAAAATTCTCAACAAAATCCTAGCCAACAGAGTCCAGCAGAACATCAAAAAAATAATACATCATGACCAAGTGGGTGTCATAAAAGGGATGCAAGGATGGTTCAACATTAGGAAAACAATCATTGTAATCCACCATATAAATAAGAAAAAGGAAAACACCACAAGATGATATCGATGGATGCAGAAAAGGCATTTGACAAAATCCAACATCCCATTCCTGATAAAAACACTCAACAAAGTAGGAATTGAAGGGAAATTTGTCAGCATAATTAAGAGCATATATACAAAACCAACAGCCTACATTACTCTCAATGGAGAAAAACTGAAAGCCTTCCCTCTGCGAACGGGACCCAGACAAGGATGCCCTTTGTCACCACTCCTATTCAATATTGTTTTGGAAGTCTTAGCCAGAGCTATACAGCAAGATAGGGAAATTAAAGGCATCCAAATTGGCAAAGAGGAAATAAAACTCTATTTGCAGATGATATGATCCTATACATAGGAAACCCCGAAGACTGAGTGAAAAAAGTTTCTAGACCTCAGTGGAAGATGGTATAAGATTAACATAAAAAACTCAGTTTGATTCCTCTATAGTAACAATGACAGTGCTGAAAAGGACATTAGGAAAGCAATACCATTTACAATAGCCACCCAAAGGATGAAATATCTGAGAATAAATGTAACCAGAGAAACAAAGTTCCTATACAAAGGAAATTACAAAACACTACTACAAGAAACCAAAAGAGAGAGACTAAGACTCGACATCGTGAAAATGTCAACACTACCCAAAGCAATATACACATATAACGCAATCCCAGTCCAGATTCCAGTGACATTCTTCAAAGACATGGAAAAGACAATTACAAACTTTATATGGAATGGAAAGAGACCCAGGATAAGCAGGTACTGCTTAAGAAGAAGAACAAGGTTTGAAGCCTCTCACTCCCCAATTTCAAAATCTACTACACGGATACGGTGGTCAAAACAGCCTAGTACAAAACAGCCTAGTACAGGTACAATGAAAGATACATTGATCAAGGAAACAGAATCGAGAATCCAGGAATTAACCCATCCACATATAGCCAACTGATTTTCGACAAAGTGCCTAGGTATATTGCATGAGGAGGAGATAATCTCTTTAACAGATGGTGCTGGCAGAACTGGAAAGCGATATTCAAAAGACTGAAACAAGACCTTTACCTCATGTCTTATATAAAAACCAACTCAACATGGATTAAAGACCTAAATGTGAATCCCTAAATTATGAAGGTCATCAATGAAAAAATAGGGACAAATGTGAGGGCTCTAATTCAGGAAATACACAGACTACCAAACATTTTAAAAGTACACAAACAAAAGTAGACAAAATAGATTATTGGGACTCAAATATTCATTTATTTTTGTTGTTGTTGTTAAGTGCCGTCGAGTCGGGTCCGACCCATAGCGACCCTGTACAGGGTTTCCGAGGGTGTAAATCCTTACGGGAGTAGAAAGCCTCATCTTTCTCCCGCGGAGCAGCTGGTAGTTTCGAACCGCTGACCTTAAGGTTCGCAGCCCGATTCGTAACCACTACGCTACCAGAGCTTCATTTATTAGACAAGTATTAAATTTTGGGATCTGTTTAAAGCATTGCGGAGAAGGGACAAAGAGAGAATAAAATGGTATAAATATGTTTTGTCTGTGGGGATTCTTACGTTACCTGCTGTGAGGTCGCTGGGTAGCCTTCCTGGCTGGAAGAGGTTCAGTCTAAGTTTTCCATCATTAAGAAAGAGGAGGAGACCTCCTGAGACCAGATGAAGTTCCGTGAAGAGGAGCAGTCCTTCGTTGTTCCAAGTTCGAAACTGAAAAGCAGCAGAAACCACATCCTCTCCAGATGTGCCTGGGAGTGCAAGGTAGCTCCTGGAGCTTGGAAAAGTCACAGGCACTAACTGTGGTTGTGAACAAGAAAACGACACATTGCCCTGAGAAGAAAACACGAGAAAAATCACTGTGAGGCCCACAGCACACGGGGAAGAGGATTTCCAACATTCACATCCTCCTGGCTTTCAAAACAGCCGCAACAGAACCTGCTACCAACATGAACATGACATTGGGCTTCAAGATCTTTCCGTGAGCATCACGGGTGACATTCTTTTCTCCCATTTCTGCAAATTTAATCAAAGCATTGAGCTCATTGTAATTGAATTGAATAAAAATGTATTTGATTTTTTTTTTTTAATATTCAACTTGACTTTCTCTTTCCGTTCATTTCACCTGCTTTTCAGCATCTGTCTTCTAACCTGCCTTAGAAGTCAATAATAATGAACGCATGTTTGTCTTTCCATAGTTTTCTCCACTCTCATCGAATCTTATGCATACACATACACACATACATCGTTGTTGTGGCTGAGTGCTGCCACGTCGGTTCTGACTTATAGACACCCTGTATAGAGTTTCCAAGGCTGTAAATTTTGGTAGGCACAAAAAGTCTCATCTTCCTCTGGGTTCAAACAACCCATCTTGTGGTTCACACACCAGTGCTTACCCTACAAAGCCAAGGCACCCTCCCCACCCACATCCCCCATATATAGACAGATTCAGTTATTTGGCAATCAGATTTAGCAGTATTTGGTTTACAAAAACAGTATCCATATTTTATGCACAATTATCATGCTTTCATCGCTAAGCAATAACCTATAGAAAATCCTTCCTGTGATCTGGTGTAACCTTAATTCGCTCTTTTTATTGGCTGAGTGAGTAATAGTCTATTATGTATGTGTTCTCGGTTTTTTACTCCATTGTTCCCCTTATGAAGGTCATTCACTGTATTTCCAGTTGTGTCTCTATCCCCAAAGTTGCATTGTTTCTCTGTATGCTGACAGTCTGAGTTCTATGGAAAAGCATCTGAGATACAGAACTGCTCCACCCATAGGTCTTAGTTAAGTGCTCCCAGATTGCTTTCCAAACAAACATTGAAATATTGTACGTTTCCATCAGTAATATACCAGGGCATCATTTTCCTCATCCTTACCAGACATTGGTATCATTGAGCTTTTAAATTGTCACTGGATTGCTGTCTCACTTGGGTTGGTCTTACAGTTACCTGAGCAGTAATGAATCGGAGCATTTTTCACAGGCTTGTTGCCCATCTGGACTTGCTCTTCTACAAAAGGCCTATTCATGTCCTCTCTGTCCAGTTTCACATTTTCTTTCCTTTTTGAACCGTTTGTTTTCATTTTTATCATGCTGTCCTGTTATTAGATTTACATATTTGCCTTCCTGATCTAATGGCTTTGCAATAAATATTCAAGACATACCGGAATTTCATGAATTTAGCGATTAAAATATTATGTATAGAAAAAAAATTAGTTTGCCATGGGAATAAGATATTTAAAGACATAAATCGACTTTTAGGTGTTAGTTCTTTTGAAATAATTAAGTATGTCCTTTATCTTGCTTAAGAAATAAAGACAAATACTTTGGGGTTCTTTCTTTTTTTTTTGAAAGCTCGGTCATACCGGTTCCATTTAGAAGAATCCACATTGGCATCAGAACCTCTTGTGATTCTGTTAGAAAGTGAGCTGGCTTTCACTGCTAGGGAATAACAAAAGCCAAAGAATAAACCGCACTGACCCATGATGTAAAGGCAATTTTAAGACCATCAAACCTTGTAAAAAGGAAGCCACATTTGACCAGCTGCAGTATGGTCTAACACTTCCTTTGGACAACTGCCTGCTACCCTACAAAGCAGCAGATCCCTTTACCAAGGAAGAATGGGCATCAGTTGCCTGGTATCCAGAAACTCTTTGGCTAATATAACATACACAGGCTCATACACCTATCTATAATGTTTTTATTTTTCTTTCAGATCATTCTTCCTTTTATATACACACATACAAAATAAACCATTTTAAGATCTTGCTGGATGGTGTGTTCATAAAAATACTATCAATTCACACATGGAATTAGAAATAAAACACTTTATAAACAACACATTTTCTCATAATGTGCTTTGGGATTTGTAGAAACAACAGGAGCTTAAATTTACATATTCTGAATTGAAACAATGGAAGACACTTATTCAAATGGATGCTATCTGTCTGCTTTTCTATTGTCAAGCTGCTTAGGTTGGAAACCAAGTTTCCCAGAACCCCATTCTCTGTCTGACCCAGGGTAAAGGTTAGACCAACAGAGGGAATCAGGGTGAAACCTGGGTACTTTTTTGTGACCGTGACAGTGAGGGACAGGTCCTGAAGCTCCTCCTCTACTTTTTCTTCCAGACAAGCAGCAAATTCAGGCCCACCAATGGGTGTTCAAACAACTGCTTCTTGGTCCAGGTACACATTCCTCATGAGCACAATTAAGTGTTACGGCATACTCCTACTTCACAATGTTGTCCATGGCTTGTCATGATCCACACAATCGAAAGCCTTTGTGTAGACAATAAATCACAGGTAAACATCTTTCTGATATTCTCTGCTTTCAGCCAAGATCCATCAGACATCAGCAATGATATCCCTCGTTCCACGGCCTCTTAGGATTCTGGCTTGAAATTCTGAAAGTTCTCTGTCAATGTATGCTTGCAGCCGTTTCTGTATTACCTTTAGTAAAACTTCACTCGCATGAGATATCAAAGAGATTGTCCAATGATTTCCACATTCCATTGAGTCACCTCTCTTTGGAATGGGCACAAATACGGATCTCTTCCAGTTAGTCAGCCAGAACAGAACATGGATGGGAACACTGAATGGTTTAAAATTAAGAAAGGTTGTATTCTTTCACCATACTTATTGAACCTGTATGTGAGCAAATAATCCAAGAAGCTGGGTTCTATGAGGAAAAACATGGCATCAGGATTGCAGGAAGACTCATTAACAACTTGCAATATGCAGATGACACAACCTTGCTTGCTAAAAGGATTTAAAACATTTACTGATGAAGATCAAAGAGCACAGCCTTCAGTATGGATTACATCTCAATGTCAAGAAAACAAAAATCCTCACCACTGGACCAATAAACAACATTCTTATCAACGGAGAAAAGATTGAAGTTGTCAAAGACTTCATTCTTCTTGGATCAACTATCAACACTCATGGAAGCAGCAATCAAGAAATCAAATGATGTAGTGCATTAGGCAAATATGCTGCATGAAACCTTTTTCAAGTGTTGAAGAGCAAAGATGTCAGCTTGAAGACTAAGGTGCGCTGGAACCAAGCCATGGTATTTTCAATAACCTCATATGCATGTGAAAGCTGGACAGTGAATACAGAAGACCATAGAAGAATTGATGCTTTTGAATTACGGTGTTGGAGAATACTAAAAGTTCTATGGCTACCAAAAGAACCAATAGACCTGTTTTGGAAGAAGTACAGCCAGGGTGCTCCTTGGAGGCCAAGATGGCCAAACTTCGTCTCTCATACTTGGGACATATTGTCAGGAGGGACCAGTCACTGGAGAAGGATATCATGTTTGGTAAAGTGGAGGGTAAGAGAAAAAGAGGAAGACCCCCAACGAGATGGATTTGCCAAGTGGTAGCATCAATGGACTCAAGCGTGGCAACAGTAGTGAGGTTGGCCCAGGATCAGGCAGTGTTTCATTCTGCTGTGCATAAGGGCACTATGGGTCTGTACCGACTCGATGGCACCTAACAACAACAACAACACTGGGTGTGGTTGAGGAACCACACAGCAGGCAGCTTCCCAGAAGAAACAGCTAGAAGAGGCTTCAAGGGCATCCTTTGCAGACTGAAACCACTCAACTGCTTAGGCTCCCTGCAAACTCCACCATGTCCATGCACACTTGCACTTCTGGGAGAACCTGAGACTATGCCTTTGTCTTCCCCTTCCCTCACCAGACCCTCCCTTTCCCAGGTCCTCTGACAACTATGAAAACCCACCCAGTGCCGTCGATTTAATTCCGACTCATAGCTACCCTATTTGGGGTTTCCAAGAGCAGATAGCCTCATCTTTCTTCTGTGAAGTGTGCTGGAGGGTTTGAACCACTGACTTTGCAGTTAACAGCCCAATGCTTAACCCCCAGCACAACAGGGCTCCTTCTGACAACAGGATAAAAGAAAAAAAACTTCAATCCATTTGCATTGAGCTGATTTTGACTTATGGCAACCCCGTATGTGTCAAATTAGAAGTGCGCTCCACAGGGTTGTCAATGGCTGATTTTTCATAAGTACATTACCAGGACTTTCTTCTGAGGTACTGATGCCTAGACGCGAATCTTCGAACTTTCAGTTAGCTGCCAAAGGTCAACCAGGGACTGCTGTAAGATGGAAGCTGTGTAATAAATGCCTCATTTTTTAATCCTCCTGAGAAAATCCTGACCAACAAACAGAGTTCAACTTCAGTTCTGTGACATTTCTATGCAATTAGAATAGAATACAGCCTAGCCAATCGGCCGACTTGGGCAGACTGACAGATGCAATGTTGCTAATTAACAAACAGCCTATTACTTTCTTATTTTTCTTATGAATGACCATAGCAAAATACAAGGGTTTCACATTTTCTCTAACATGCATGGTTGTTATCTGATTCCAAGAAGTTGGTGTGCTCTTCTTGCAAGTTTGTCAGGGAAGACCTTGCTAAGGAAATGAAAGGGTAAAATAAATTTGTCTCCTGAGTTTCCTAGTGTCACAACCAAGTTAAAGCATCAACTGTAAACAGAATGCTGCCTTATTTCATATAAAAATGGTCACATCCTCGGAATAAGAATTTAATTCAGCAGAATGAGTCCTTTATATGCCTGTTCTTTGCCAGAGATAATTTTTAGAAGAATAAGAATCATAAAAAACGGAAATCCAAACTAGAGTGACCTTACTACGTGGACCGGCAGTATGGTATGACTTGTTCATGAGCAAGGCAAACTCTTACCGTAGTGATGATCTGAGGGTTGTGTCCCCGGGTCAGATCAATGATATCCACTCCATCATAATAGAGATTTTCTAAACACCCGTGAAAATTTTTCTGGGAGAAGGATACTGATTTTTCAGGTGCTGAAATCCCTCCAAAGCTGATCTTAGAAAGAAAAATGGCATCAATAATATTGTTTAGTGATTTTTCTGAAGATTTGCTTAAATATTTGTGATTAGCAAGTATAATTGCAATCATCACCGATAGATCGATTTTCATCACCCTGCAATGTGGTGCTGTAGGATCAGCACTCGACTTCAAACCACAAGGTCGGCAGTTCAAACCCACCAGCTGCTCCTTGGAAACACTATACAGGGTCACTAGGAGTTGGAGTTGACTTGACAGTACTTAACAACAACAACAACAACAACAACACTGCCACATTGTTGATTTCAAATGGAAGTTTGGAACAGAAAGAAGGTAAGGTGCAGAATTTGAAATTGACAAGCATTCCGTTTTCACGTATACTAGAGCGTCATGACTCTTAAAGGCTGCTAGTCATACTGGGTTTTGAAATTCACATTTGTTGGAAATGAAAACAATATATCATTAGAATTATGGAGAATCTTGATCTGTTTCATGAGGTAACGCATTATAATGGCATTTTATTTGATACACATTTCTGGCACATATTACTATTTGAAACATTTGCTAATTAATGAACTTGTTTGTGGCTAGATTTGCTGTGTGAATCTACACTGCTCCGGAGTGCCCAGTGACACCAAGAACTAACCCAATACATTCTACATTTACTTCTCTCGGAGAGAATTCTCCTACAGGTGGCATGATGGGACTACACATCCTAGAGAAAAAGATGTTCTTGAGCTCTAATGATAAACTATTGTGTGGCAGTTGAAGTTTCTTAAAAAGTTTTCCTATTTACACTAGAGAACGAACGTACTTGACAAGAACTAGGGTTTACTCAGAAAGGGAAGTTCTCCAGAGTGGATTTTCTTTAGGCAGGTTGTCGTTATGTGCCATATTCCGACTCACAGCAATTCTACGTAGGGCTTCTGAGGAGTGGCTGGTGGGTCTGAACCACTGAACTTGGGGTTAACAGTCCAGTGCTTATACAACAACGCCACACCAGCACTCCTAGGTAGGTTATGTCACATAAAAACCAAAGCACACCAAAACCAAATCTAATGGATTCTACCTCATCATGAGCCTGTGGAACAGAGAACTGCCCCAGAGGGTTGCCAAGGCTGTCAATCTTTACGGAAGCCAACTTCCTCATCTTTCTCCATGGAGTTGCTGGTGAGTTTGAACTGCTGACCTTTTGGTTGGCAGCTGAGCGTGTGAAGCGCCCACGGCACCACTGTGGCTTCTTGTCTATCACATGTTGTTGTTGTGTCTGGAAGCTACTTGAGCAGTTTGTTATTGTTGTTGTTAAATGCCACCAAGTGACTCTGTGGAGTGGCTGGTGGGCTCAAACTGCTGACCTTATAGTTCAAAGTCCAGTGCTTATCCCACACAGCCACTGTGCTCCCCTATGTATCACATTTATTGTTGTTGTTGTTATGTGCCGTCGCGTCAGTTCCGACTCATGGTGACCTTGTATAGGGTTTCTGAGGAGCCACTGGTGAGGTTAAACCTCCAACCTTATGGTTCAAACCAGCCGGGCAGTGGAGTGTTTATCCTACACCAGAAGTCTATCTATCACCTACCCAGCATAGAATGGTTTATTCATTGAAATGCACTCATCACACCTCATAATCAAGATCCAGGTACGTGAGCTCCCCCTGCATCTGGAAGCGATGACTGTGTCCATCCACTGTGAAGTTGACTTGTTTGCCCAAGTGCTGGATGAGCACTGAATGCCAGTGCTGGTCATCCAGAAGGCTGCCCAGGGAGAGATTGACCAGGCTCTGGCTAGAGGGCAGCTTAGCTTCACCTTACAAGAGGAACAAACAAAGACACCATTATTTCCAGTTTCCAAAAAAAAGCTTCCCTTTTGTGGAGCATCACGTCTCATAATCATAACTGCAGTCTCCTTCCATGGGTTCCATCACAAATGCTGCGTGGCTTTATCTGGGGCTCCGCTCAAATACCCTTTCGACCTTGTTGTAATTTCTTCCACTGCTAACTCTTTTCATTAGCATGACTCATTGCATGCTCGTTTTCTATGTAAATTTTATCTTTGTTACAACCTCATTATTTTTACTACCTTAGTATTTTTCAATGACCCATCCCTTTCTTTACGATGTTAGAAAATGGCTATGCAGTTACATTGGCGCTATGTTAAAAAAAATATATATTGAATAAGGGTCTTGAACAATTTGCAAGCTAGCAATCATTTTTACATAAAAGTTATATATGTATATACTTACAAAAGCACACACAAGGGGCTTCAAAAAGTTCCAGGAAATGTCCATTATTTTTTAACTCTATTATTTCCGTGAACTTCTTGAAGGCCCAATGAGTGTATACACACACACAAAGTCCTTGAATCTAAAATTAATGCATCTTGCCTGTTAAAAATAAGCCATGAACGTGCAGTTACTTACCTGACATCCAAATAGTCCCATTTCATGGTCCACCCGCAATAGCTTTACCTGAATTGATCAGTAGAAAGAGTCTCCCTCTTCGTAATTCCAGTGTGAGGTGGTCCCCATGCTGCCCATCTCGGTGGAGTAGAATCCCATCACTCTTCATGGTTTTAAATTTCAAAGAAATAATGTCTTTTATCGGGCTCAGGGATTTTTTATCAAATTTGTAAAGAAGGGAGCTTCTTCCATCAAGATCAATAACCTCTGATCCTAGAAACAAAGATATTCACAAGTCATTTCAGAAACAAGGCTCTTGTTACAAAAGCACTGAAAATACATAAACAGAGACCATCACATATACACAAAGGTGCAAAGTAGAGTTCAGCTCTGGGCTGGCCTGACAGAGGGAAACTGACCTGCTGACGACTCAGTTTTATTCACTGTGACTCTATAAAACAGAATAGAACCTCCTAGTATGGTTTCCTAGGCTGCAGAGTTCACAGACTTCTGGTGTGGCACTGTCGGATAAGCACGGGACTGCTATCGGGAAGGTAGGCTGTTCAAACCCACCAGGCCCTTCCTGGAATTCTATGCAGGGTCGCCATAAGTCAGAACCGACTCCATGGCAATTCACATCAGCAGTCTTCATGAAAGTAGACAACCACATCTTTCTTCTGTGGAGTAAGTTCAAACCTCAGCCTCTGGCAAGCGCTTAACCACTGTGCCACCAGCTCTCCTTACTCTGTACAAACTGTACATAAAAGAGGTCCACACACAAATGGCACACATATTTTAGCTGTATTAAAGGTTGCTTCGAGGCCCTATTAAACCAGCCTACGTGTTTTGTTTTTCAGGGCAATGCTCTGTTCTGCCTTTCAAGGGCACTATGGGAAAGACATATCATAAGGGCTGTTGGGCTGCCTTTGTGTCATAACCGTAACACTGATGTGTGTTTTCAGCTTCCTGACAGTGTCTTATCTACTCATTGTCAAGATCACTTTCATTCTGTTCATCTGAAAAAAGATGTCATGTTACACCAGGACATCTGTCAAAATCAGTTGTGCCCTGAACAGGAGACACGACAGAGAACTGATAATAATACTAAGGTTGTCTTCCAGTGTTTCTACACTTCACAAGTCAACGTTGTTTGCTTTTTGTTTTTTTAAAGGTAATTACCCTTGAAAGTACATTTGTGTAATAAATGAAGAGGCTGGGAAACCCAATAAAACCTGAAACTATTTTTCAACCTGTTAGCCGACTTCTTCCTGCCAACAGAATGACATTACAGTTGACTCATATAGTTTCCTTTGGTAAAATGATTACAGTCACTTGTATGCCCATACATGCATTCCATGCTGACTATCCATTATATTCAATATGAACCATTTATATGCAAGACCCTCCCAGAAAAAAATAATTCCATCTATGTTATGCAGCTATTTTGTTTGACAACTCAGAGGTTTGATTTTCTCACATCTTGTTAATGCGCATGTAAGAAACTCATTTACCAAGTGCACATGAATAAACATTGCGTCCATCCTGGTCCTGTAACAATGTTAACCACACAATCATTCCTTGTTAGATAGTGGGATAGATGTGCGTGATAAAAACATAACTTTGTGTCACATAACAAGAATGTGTTTTATGATTATTAGACTACAATAAATTAAGGCAAATTCCAATAAGACGGCCTTTAAATGCTGACACATTTGGAGCCACGCTGCTATCTCTGCATTCGTGTATTGCTTCAAGGCAATCATTATGATGATGATGTGATTTTAGGTAAAGTCTATTTCGGGAATTCACCACCATGGGAATTTTCTCCCAAGAAAGGTTTAGTCTGCGTTACTTTCGCCTACTCTCTCCTTTGTCCCCTTCTTTATTGTTGTCATTATTACACTATAATGGTGATACTCATTTTCCATGGTGCCCACAGCGCTTGTGCCTGGCATTTTTCCATCCGCAAAATGAGGGAATCAAAAATGTATCAGATAATTGATGCCTACAGCAAAGATGTAGCTTTGTCTCTTAAACTGAAACCGTGTGCAGATTTCTCTCTCTCACCCTTACCTACTGCCTACTGACTTCACAAGGGAACCACTTTGCGATGCGATGCTGTCATTTAATAAATATTTACGACCCCCGACTTTGTGTGAGGTGTTGTGCTGGCTCCTGAGATGGAGGCGTTATCCACACAAACATAGTTCCTGCCCTCAGGGGATTTTCATTCACTGAAATGAGCGAACAAATAAGTTCAGAACACTGGCACAGAGCATGGAAGCAAAGAAGGCGTTTGGACAGAGATGAATACCTCAGCAACAGTCTTTGGGAAAGGCCTGTCTCAGCTCTCAACGTTTCAAAGGTCTAGAAACCTGAGGCCCAGACACATCCTAATCAGTAACCATCCCACACTCCACAGTCTTCACCTCCTATAACCTTTCCCCATAAACCAGAATGACTTCTGGGATGTTCAATTTCCAGATGCCTCGACATTCTCCTGATTCTTTCGCTCTTTAACTGTCATGCAGGAAAACTCTGTGGATTACTCAGAAATGACAGGGACAATAAATAATTTAGTGCTCAGAAGAAGGAAGGGGGTGGGCTCACATTGATCAAAGTGGCCAGGATACAAGAAAGCAGGGAAGTAGGGGAATTAACAAACTGGCTACAACAAGAAAGTCTATCCTAGCTGTGACGCGCAGATATATCACCATTCCAAAATAAGCTAGAAGTCATTCAGAAAGGGAGTTTGTGACACTGTCACTGCCAGAAAAGTTTAAGGTCCAGACACATAGTACAGAGGTGTACATTGTCCTGAAAGATCTCTAACTGTACTACTTATTATAGATGGGAAACTTACCTGAAGAGCTCCATTGTTATAAAAAAGTTATTTACAATAGCACTTGTGATGTACAATAAACAATTTTAAAAAACCCAAAAACCTAATATTGTTGCTGTTGAGGATATACACAGCAAAACATGCACTGATTCAACAGCTTCTGCTTGTATAATCCAGAGACACACTGCATGTCTCGAGTTGTGCCATTGTTCTTACCTTCCTGTCTGAGCTGTCCCTTCTCCGTTAACCTAAACTTACTGACCATGAAGGTTCCTATCTAATCTTTTCAGTTACTGCTGAGGATGCTTATATACAACCAAACACCTCCTGGGATTCAGTTCCTTGCTTTAGAGGTTTAGGGTCATGGTTTCATGGGACATGCCAGTTAATTGACCAAGTAATGTATGTGGTGTTTCTGTTCTATCAACTTAGTTGTGCAGTGCCTGGGGTCTTAAAAGCTGGCAGGTGGCCATGCAAGGTACAACAGGTGATTCTATCGACTGGGGCAACAGAGGAAGAAGGAACGTTACAAATAAAAGCAGGATCTGGAATGTGTGGCTAATTGCCTCCATGAACTCCTGCCCCGTTTGTCATGAGACCAGAAGAACTGGATGGTGGTGCCTGGTTACCATTACTGATCATTTGATCAAAGAATCTATACATCTATATTGATCAAAAGAAGAAAAATGCAGGACAGAATTGGAAATTCTCAGGAACTCCATGGAGCCATGAAACAGCTACTCTGACAGAATCTTTGAATATTAACCCCAAAATATCCCCTTAAGGTCTTCTTCAAACCAAACAAGAGTTTAGCTTAACTAGCAAAAAATGTCTGCCTTGAGCATTATGTTCTTTTAAGAAATTATCTACATGGGATTTATTTGGGAGAAGAAAAAGAATATAATTTTTAAACAGCATGCACAAAAGACTGAGTCATGTATGTGTTTATAGAGTTGTTGGCATCTAATTTGCATTCAATACAGCATTAGTTGCTATGAAGGATCATGTTGTTGAGATGTTAATCATCAGCCAGTCAATTCTGACTCACAGCGACCCTGTAAAGGGTTTCCAGGGAGCAGGTGATGGGTTTGAACCACCAACTTTGTGGTTAGTGTTGTTGTTGTTAAATGCAGTTGAATTGGTTCAGACTCATAGCGACCCTGTAATGGGTTTCCAAGGAGTAGGTGATGGGTTTGAACCACCAACTTTGCGGTTAGTGTTGTTGTTGTTAAATGCAGTTGAATTGGTTCAAACTCATAGCGACCCTGTAATGGGCTTCCAAGGAGTAGGTGATGGGTTTGAACCACCAACCTTGCAGCTCTGATGCTGCAGCATCCTGCACCAGTATCACACCCAGTACTTATTCCACTGCATCACATCAACACTCCTAATAAATGAAAACAGTCTTCTTTTTTGTTACAATAGTCAGCAGAGAAGGAGACGGAGCGGAAACAGTTTAATGAATACATTAGGTATTGTTGTTGTTAGGTGCCATCGGGTCAGTTCTGGCCCACAGTGACCCTACAGACAACAGAGTGAAACACAGCCCAGTCCTGCATCATCCTCACAACTGTTGCAACACTTGAGCCCATTATTGCTGCCACTGTGCCAATCCATCTCAATGGGGGGCTCCCTCTACTTTGCCAAGCATGATGTCCTTCTCTAGGAACTGGTCCCTCCTGATACATTTAAAGTAGAAGACAAAGTCTAGCCATCTTCATTTCTAAGGAATATTCCAGTTGTATTTCTTCCAAAACAGATATGTTTGTTCTTCTGAAAGTCTGTGGTACCTTAAATATTCTTTTCTAACACCAAAACTCAAATGCATCAATTATTCTATGGTCTTCCTTATTGATTGTCCAACTTTCACATGCATAAGAGGTTATGGAAAATACCACGGCTTGGGTCAAGAACACTTCAGTCCTCAAACTGACATCTTTCTACCTGGACACTTTAAAGAGGTCATGTGCAGCAGATTTGCCTAATGCAATACGTCATTTGTTTTCTTGACTACTGTTTCCCTGAGTGCTGATAGCTGATTCAAGCAAAATCCAACTTCAACCTTTTCTCCATTTATCATGCTATTATTTACTGAACCAGTGATAAGGATTTTGGTTTTCTTTACACTAAGGTGTAACCCTTACAGAAGGCTGTGGTCTTTGATCTTCATCAGTAACTCTATTTGAAGTTCTCACTTCCAGCAAGCAAGGTTGTAGTATCTGCATATGGCAGGTTGTGAATGAGTACTCCTCCAGTACAGTCCCCATGCAGTGAAGCTTCTCAGATTATTTGCTCAGCATTCAGACTGAATAAGTATGGTGAAAAAATAAATAAAACCCTGGTGCACACCTTTCCTGATTATAAAACATCCAGTGTCCCCTTATTCTGTTCTATGGACAAGTTCCTCAAGAATACAATGAAGTGTTCCAGA